TCCGATCAGAAATTTATTTATAGATGGCGCCTTCTCTACAAAATTGTAATTCATTTATTTGAATGAAAATTCTTCATGAAATCCTTATTGTACATGTGGATCATAGCAGGTAGAGTATAACCTTTAGAAAAAAAACAAGCAGGTACAGTATAATTAAAGGTGGGTGAATATGTCTCTAGCAAAGTCAAGGAGAGGAAGAAATCGTATAAGAAGAAAAATGCACATAATTCAAGCATAGTATTTGAAAATGTTAGGGTTATTAGATTTGATTGAGAGGGATATATCTCAAGGAGAGTTATATTATAAATTTCTTTTATCGGTTATTTGCACACAATTTTACAATAATAAAATATTATTGACTTTGTGTTTATACATTTATGATATTATTTTTCTTCATCATCCAAAAAAATCCTTTACTAATAAAATATATATATATATATATATATATATATTTTATTAGTAAAGGATTTTTTTGGATGATGAAGAAAAATAATATCATAAATGTATAAACACAAAGTCAATAATATTTTATTATTGTAAAATTGTGTGCAAATAACCGATAAAAGAAATTTATAATATAACTCTCCTTGAGATATATCCCTCTCAATCAAATCTAATAACCCTAACATTTTCAAATACTATGCTTGAATTATGTGCATTTTTCTTCTTATACGATTTCTTCCTCTCCTTGACTTTGCTAGAGACATATTCACCCACCTTTAATTATACTGTACCTGCTTGTTTTTTTTCTAAAGGTTATACTCTACCTGCTATGATCCACATGTACAATAAGGATTTCATGAAGAATTTTCATTCAAATAAATGAATTACAATTTTGTAGAGAAGGCGCCATCTATAAATAAATTTCTGATCGGAAGAAGGAAAAAAATCCACCCTCAACCTGAAGCCAAGCCTCAACTCTCTTTCACCCAAAAATGAAAAAATAAAAAAGAAAAAAAAAATGAAAGCAACTGGTTAGAAACAGTTGCTCATAGTTGAAACAAAAAAGAACCAGAATATTGAAACAAAATAAAGCAACTAGTTTGAGGTTTTATTAACACTTGGGAAGATCAGCTGGCGGAGGGAACAGCTGATGTCAAATTTCCAGTCACAATCTGGTTTATTCCTTCAACTGCTGCAACAGTGGAAAACGCCCAACAGCTACCTACAACAACCAACATAATCACCATGTCAATATTAATTAACAAAACAATTGAATTACACTATAGGAACTGAATAAGGATAAGTTATTATATAATCATGGATCATTGTGGTATGAATGAATCTTCATGATACATCATCAAGTTTAATTAATTTTTTCTTATAAACTACAAAACATGGCTAGATCATGACTAGTCAGGACCATGCAAGCAAAAATTTCTCATGACAATAAAAATGAGCATAATACTTACCACATGAACCTTGGTTCTTGACTGGGGTAACAGCACCTTTCTTTCTCCAATCCACTGACTTTGGCAATTCAACATCTTTATAAGAGAATTCCTCTGGGGACTCTCTCCTTGTAGAGTAATCAACCTTAAGTCCCAAATACTTTTTCTTAAACTCTTGGTGGCTCAAATCAGCAAACTCATTCAAACCAAGCCAGTAGTTGCTGACCACCTTGTTTGTCTCATCAATGTGCTTTAAGTTGTCCTTGAAAATCTCGAACCTAAGAAGCTTCTCCTCAATGCTCTCATAAATCTTGTTGTGTTTTGACATCCATGATTCAAAGAGCTCAATGAGCTTATCCATGGACTTTAAGTCCTCTGATGAATAGCCAACAATGGAGAAATCGCGTCCAAAAGCCAAAGAAGCAAATAGGAAAAAGGAGCATACAAGAACAAGTGCCTTGGAAGAAGAGAAAGCCATGGTTATAGTTGTTGAATTATGAATGCAATAAAAGAACGGAAGGGATGAGGAAGAATGGGGGAAAGAGAGAGTATATATAGGTTGTGTTGTGTTGAGATTTTACTTTCAAGTAAAGTTTGTTATACCACGGTGCACTCAGTAGTAGTAGTCTTTAAGTATGTTTTTGTAGGTGCCTTTACATCAAAGCATAATATCACATTCTCACATCACATGCCTTAATTATGTGCTACAAGATATATAGTGTATGCTAGAATACATATATATTCAGGGCAGTAGGAGACTGTTCAAAACTTTTTGGAGAATGGAACAGGAAAAAAAAGTTTCAGAACGATCCACTAGCTATATTTAAATTCTTTTCATAATAAATTTGAAAACACTTGTCCTTTATTAAGGCCCTAAAAATTTACACACATCTAAAATGATTATCTACTCCAACATACACACTTATATGAGATAGATTTGAGCGAGAATAATTCTAATATTTTAAGAATATAAAAGTTATAAAATAATTCTAATATTTTAAGAATATAAAAAGCTATAAATCTGGATATCATACATAAATAATTAAGATGAAAAATTAATTAATAATCACATAAATATTTTAAAAAATAAATATTCAAATATTTTCAATATTAACCATTTAAATATGATTTCTATTTTTTATTCTTATTTTGTATATTAACTCCGATCTTGTACGCTTATAAACTAGAGGTTTTTATTGAAAATTATTATTAAAAAAAACAGTACGAGGATAAATTTTCACTAGATATATGAAATGAGGAATTTATAAAAGGAAGCGGTAGATTAAAGTAATATTGTAAATTATCACTTTTATTTTGAAATTACAAATTCATCAAAATTGTGGATCAAAAAAATTCATCAAAATTTCTTGGCTCGAGATATATACACCTCCTTTTTTTATAACTACACTTTCTTTAATTTTTTTTAAAAATTATAAAATATTTGTAATTTTTTTTCTTCTAATTTTATATCTCCAACTTTTAATTTATTACTTTCTTTGTTCTTTTTCATACATTTTTTTCTTTTTCAATTTTTACATGTATCATTTCGTCTTCTTCTAATTTCTTACATATTATCGAGAAAGTCACACACTTATAATATTATTAAAAACTAGTTCTTCGTTTTACATGTGTGAAAACTAAAAGTGGGAAGAGATGAAATAAGAGTAAGAAAATTGAAAGAGGAGGTGGAAGAGTAATGTAAAACCAAAAGAATTAAAATTACCTACCAAAATAAGTTAAATGAAGGAAAGGTAAGGGAGTGTATGTGAAAATTAAAAAAATGGGAGAAGATATGTAAAGAAAAAGTAATAAATTAAATATTGTGAGTGTAAAATTAAAAAATTAAAAATTAAAAATATTTAAAATATTTAAAATTTTAATTATTTGTTTTAAAAAAAGGATGTGTACATATAAAAAATAATAATAATAAAAAAAAAAAAAAGAGGTGTATATATCATGAATCAATTTTTTTTTGTGGTTGCAATGTGGACTAGATTCAGTGGTCCGGCCCATCTAACCCACAAATTTAGTCGGTCCTGTCTAAGTTTAATCCACTAATACGACAGGCCACCGATAGGACAAGATTGTTATTTTTTTTTTATAAAGTATAATAAATTTATATCGATGCATGAATATAAAATGCTTAATATATTTTTTTTCTATGAATAATTTGAAAGGTCACTTGTCGAGAGGAGGATCAATATGACCTTACATCAATTTATTTATTTAAGTTTTTAATGTTTTTCAAAATACGCATATATTATCGTAATTTATTTTATAAAATCAATTCCTTTAACAGGAAAATTGATTAATATTTTAAGTTCTTCAAATAAATTTGAATTAGTGAAAAAACTTGAAATTTCTCTTTAGCACGATTTAATTGCTTCTTCTTATTCTTTTTAGTGCAATTTCATATATTTTAAAGACCATTTAGAATTTATAATATTTTTATACTCCGATAAGAACCAAAAGTTAAGTGTTGTTTGACATTAGTGTCTTGAATTTCTTTCCATTCCAAACCTTTCAAGTGCTTCCTTTTCAGTCACATGTTTTTGTTATTCTCTTTTTCTTTTTGTTGTTCTTATACAAGGGCTTAGGCTTCAACTTGATATTGCAACCTTACCCCTAGTTATCAATCTATTTGGATATAAGTTAAAAATATTTATGAGAATTTTTCTATAAAAAGTAAAGAATATTTTTATTAAAAAAAACTTTTAAAAGTACTTTTAAACTTGTATCAGAAAAGATTTAAGATTTTAGGATTGAGTCGTGTCTTCTTTTTTTTTTTTTCTGTTTAGAGTCATTGTTATTACCATCTTGATTAAATGTGAGATATGTTTTACTTTACCCTTTTTATTGAGTGTGAGTTGTTAGAAACATTTTGTGAAAAATATAGAAAAAATAGATCTTGTAAAAAAATTGAAAATAAAATTAAAGATGGTAAATTAAAATTAAAATCAAATTTTTAATAAATTGTCATTAAAATTATCATAAAATTCATGATTTAAATATATTTTCAATCCCTCAAATTTAGCATAAATTTATTTTTGGTCTCTAAAATTTTAAACTAGTATTTTTAAGAACATGGAATTATCCATAACCATTTTTCTTATAATTCATTTATATGCATATATATACGGAAGGATTTTTTCTTGGTATATATAATTTATTTTCTCACGTTCAAATTGGTATATTCATTTTTAACTTTTTCATAACATTTATTAATATATTTTTTTTATAAAATTTATAAAATTTCAGTTGGACATGCTTGTGCTTATATATAGGGAGAAAAAAAAAACCTAAGGGAAAAATAGACTAAGGTGAGAAAGTAAAGGTAATTCGTGAATGAAATCAGAATAATATAGAAATGTACTTATGTTGGTAGATTTTCTCAAGTTTCATCCGTATACTCTTCTGTATGGTTGAATTAAAGTGAAAAATTGTAGTTAAAAGACTTGAAGTCATGATCAAAAAATCTATCAACATATTAAATTCATTCGATCTTATGAAAACATATTATGATATTCATACAATTTTTATTTTATTTCAGTGAATTTATTAGTTAATGAAATTTACTAAAAAAAGATTTGTTCAAATTTGTTTTATAAATTTGTTGAAATATTTTTTATTAACTAATTAACTGGAAGAAAGTTTGAAATAAAGGGAGATAAAGTTAATCTAAGAGGTTAAAAAGGTTAGTATAGTACTATGACTGAATATGGAAAGCCACCAAATAAGCAGGCTATAAATATTGATTACTATATGGCAGGTGATCAGTCAGCAGTCCCGAGTGAGGAAGAAGGTATTCTGCTATGCCTATTAGCTATTACCTACGAGGATGTGGATGAGGATGCATGCATGGATGGGGATATGTGCAGATTGCAAGAAATAAAGCAAAAGAAGATATTATGAATATTCAGAGCACAGGGTCTAAGGGGGTAGGCTTATGTAACCTACATACACTGTAGCCTATGGCGTATTGGATTCTTGTTCTGCTGTTATCTTTTACTTGGCCGAGTCACTAAGATCTAAGGTAGCCCACATGCACCTGCTACTCCATTCAAAATGCTGCTCAATGCCGTGTGCTTATACCAGCATATGTTGCTTATAACTGTATCACATTATTGTCACATCAACTCTGATCTATTTTATAAATTGCTTAAAATTTAGCAAATTGATAATGATGTGACACAAAAAGTTGTTTATAAGCAACCCACCGGAGATGCTCTTATATTACATATACACGTGCATGCACTCTTCATTTTAATTAATTAATACTATACTAACATTTTAGTACACCAGCTCTGCTAAGCTACACCCACCATGCTGCCTTCTACTGTTATGGTTTACTTGCTACCTACCTACCTATATCATATCATGCAAAGCCTCAGGGACTAGCCATTTCCTATTTGGTGCCGACCATAATCATTTACTATATTACTGTACTAATCTTATTTAATTCTTTCACCTTCATATTAAACTAAAGCACTTTAGCAATTAATTCAGTGCATGTTTTCATTCCATTTGTAACATGAAAATTCACGTTTATTTGAATAAAAAAATCTTACTTCTACGTGTGTGTTTGCTTCGGATTCTCGACGTGAAAATTCACGTTTACATGAAGTAAAAAATTTAAACTTCCACGTAAATTCAAGCTTAAACGTGGAGAGAGAAAAAAAACTTACGTTTATAACTCAAAACCAAACACGCACTACGTAAATATAACATTGGACGTGGAAAGAGAATGCATAATCCGCGTTCAAAATGAAATCCAAACATGCACTCAATCTTCAACTTTTCCACTTCAAATTATTAGTTCTCCAAAAGTTACTACAACATAAGCCACCCATTTCTATTTTTTCTCAAAAAAAAATATATAGTGTCACCACCCTAAAATTAATGTATTTAGAAATATTTCTCTAATTCTAGCCTATGTGATTGAAACTTGCTAGTTTATTAGTGAAAAAAGGAAAAACCGGAAAAGATAATAAGCACATATAAAAAGAGAATTATTATTCGTGATGGGATAAGATGATCGCTTTTGAGAGACCATGTGGTTTCATCCTATCCCTTATTGAAACTCAGTCCTGACACTGCTATTCAACCCCAATCCAATTATATCGCAACAAATCAGAGAAATTAAACTGTGCAATTACTACCCTTACATTTAATGCACTCCTTACTTTTAACCAGCAAACAATCACCTTCGAAACTATCCATCTTTTTAACGTTAGCCGATTTTTTTTTTAAAGAAAAAGTAGTAGTTATTATACCTTAATTTCATATTTTCATGTAATAAAAACCTTCCTATTTTGGTTGTTTAGAAACCTCAAAATTAACTTTTAAAGAATGATGTTATTAAAGACGTTTATAAAATGGTTGTTTAACCCGCTTCAAATAAAAATATAGTTAGAGCACCTTATCTTAAAGAGGACCACAACAGTTAAGAACGTATATTCAAATTTAGACCTATCTATAATCCATTACTTTGATAACTTGTGTTGATTAACTTCTAATGTACGAATGTCAAAATTCAATAAACAAAAAATATATCTTGAAACAGGATAATCGTAACTAGTGTTGTCTTAGTTTTGGTAAACAACAGTCACTAAATATAGTTTGAATTTGATCATGTTAATTAGGCACTGGTTAGTACTTTAATCTCAAAGATATATAACCTATTCACCTGCACTGTAGGTCCACATTCAGGTTCATACGTATACCTATTCACCTGCTGTGTTCGATCTACTCATCCCCTCGTTTTCATAACTCCCTACTCCATCTCCCTCTATAATACTCCATCTCACCCCAAACCCTTTACCTGTCCTTCTTATCGCTATTTGTTTGAGTCTGTCTTTACTTTTCCTTCTGCATAAAGCAAAAGAATAGAGTGTTGAGGAGGTCATGTTGGTAATGGAAGAGGTACTGTGTGAACTTAGTGATCATGAAAAGAGAAACGAGCAAGGCCTGCCACCGGGTTTCAGGTTTCACCCCACTGATGAAGAACTCATAACCTTTTATTTGGCTTCAAAGGTGTTTAATGAAACCTTCACTAATGTCAAGTTTGCTGAGGTTGACCTCAATCGATGTGAGCCTTGGGAACTTCCAGGTATCATAATATTTTTTACTCCATACATTATTTTTCTCCTGCACAAAAGAGAGAAAACAATGGTGTGACATGACGGAATTTTTTTATTTAAAGTTTGTTTAGACTTAGCTGTATTAATTTAGGTTTATATGTTTTAGCTAGAAAATTATTAGTTTTAGTACCTCTTAGCCGGCCTTGGCCTTTTATTATATATAGTAGTATATTGTTTATTTTGAGAATTCCTAGTGTGTGATTAGTTAGTTGTCTGGTAATCTTGTAGTTAATTATCATTCTCAGTGTACCATTTTACTCATCAAAAAATATTGTGATATCTGCTAGCATGCATGTAGCTTCAAGTTTTTAATGGCATCATCAGCTTCTCCACTTTGGTCTTTTTGATTTTCCTGTTCCAAATCTTCTGTTTGTCTGTGCTGCATGAGAGTGGACGGCAATTTAATTTTAAGAAAGTTGGAACATAAGTTGAGCTACTCTGACCCCTTGGCAACTATTGTGTTATTTTTTTACTTATTAATTACCATCTCTAGTTAGATCGATGTCCATCGCATGTTTACTAATTTAATTAAGTAATGGCCCCCATTCATCTATTTTAAGTTTGTCCAAAATTTTAATATATTCTCCAATCTTACTAATTAGAGGCAACAATACAAACAAACAGTGTCCTGATGATAGAAATATAAAATTGTTGATGTGCCTACCTAAGCTACTAGGAAAGATTCACTTGTGAGTATTATATTAACCAATTTGGTTCATTCAATGATTTCCTACATAATAATTACTACTAGTATTATAGTTAATTATACATTTGTGATTTGTCGGTTCCATGTTCCTGGATCAAGCAAGTGTTATCGTAAATAATGTTGGTGTGTGTGGAAGCAGATGTGGCAAAGATGGGGGAGAGGGAGTGGTATTTGTTCAGTTTGAGGGACAGAAAGTACCCAACAGGACTAAGAACAAACAGAGCAACCGGAGCTGGGTACTGGAAAGCGACTGGGAAAGATAAGGAAGTGTACAGTGCTTCGAGTGGAACCCTACTTGGAATGAAGAAGACTCTTGTTTTCTACAAAGGAAGGGCCCCTCGCGGAGAGAAGACCAAATGGGTCATGCATGAGTACCGTTTGGACGCTCACTTTTCCCACACCTCCAAGGTATTACGTGCATATCAAGTTATCTCTGTTCCCTTTTTTCATTTTGTCCTCTTCTGAGTTGACCCACCTACATGCATGCCTACATCTACAATGTCATTTCCTTTTCACCTAACCTTACCCTTTTTCACACTTCCTTCATCTATCACTTTATTAACCTTTTCGGTACTACTTTTAATGGGCTTCAGTTCATTTTTATTTTTTACTACCAACATGCATGTGAAATTATTAAATGACCGACCATTTATTACAATTCAATGCTTTTAAACGTGCATCTGGGATTAATTTGATTACACTATTTAGTAAGACATCTAACTTGCATATTAATTAAACTAGTTCCAATTAATTTTATTTTTTTTTACAGGAGGAGTGGGTGATATGCAGGATATTTCATAAATCTGGTGAAAAGAGAACTCCATTGCTCCAACTCCAAGGACATTCTGATGCTTCTTCGCCCTCATTACTTGCAAGCCCCACTTCCTTTACATTGGAATTAGAGTGCCAATCCCAAAGCCCCCTTATGATTCACCACCAACAAGACCAAAACCACCTCTCTCACCCTCATCTTTTCCCATTGCATGCCACAAACCATTCATCAATCTCGGACCTTTTCCTCAAAGCCAAGGAACAAACACTTGCAAAACTAATCAAAACGGAGGACGACGCTAACGCTACGTTGTATCAACATCACTCACTAGATGACCCTAATAATAGCTTCCGGTGGGAGAACAAGTTGAACCATAATATTAATCAAGGGCATTTCATGAACCCTGTCCCTCTTGAGGTGGATGCGGGTCTAATGGCATTCTCAGGAGCTGCAAATGCTGAAGTTAGGGACATGTCCACTTCAACAGTCTTTAACAGGGTAGGGTTGCAGCAGGTGCTAGATGCTGCTCATATCGGAATAGATTCTTGGCCTATGCCCCAGCATGTTTAAATCTATATGTTTATATGTATTTATTATATAGACTCCTAGTACGTAATGTGTTTGTGTAACATAATTAAATAACTCGTGTGTGCATGCCTATGCAAGCTAGATCTTCTACTAGATTTGTAACGTTCTGTGACTACAACCTCAGACAAGACAAGACGTATCTGTAACAGATTCTCGGACGTCTCATCGACCATTCATTGGTGCACTTCGTTAAATGACTTGAGTCTTCAGTGTTAATTCGCTTGTTACCCAACTCATCCATCATGTCACACGTCAATTTTTATAAGGATTTTGCGTTAAATTAACTTTATTTTTATAATATCTTTTAATCAAAACTATATTTTTATGCAGTGATAATATTATGGATCCATTAATTTCTTCCAAAAATAAAAATGGATCCATTAATAAATATTTTGTAGTGCATAAAAATCTTAAAACATCCTGTGCAAGTTGGCTAAACTAGTGAAATCTCGTTCTCTATTCCGAACATCATTTCGAAAGAATCTTGTTTTATAATGGTTCACACGTATGTTTTTAGCTTTACGTCTATGATCTACATTTGAGTAAAAATTACATGGAAAAAAAACTTGTACTTTATCTGCGAGATTATTCAACTCTCTTGCTTTACATAGTGTTTTTGGTTGTGTGAGAATGGAAGAAAGGGAGATTTTTTTTTTTGAAGCTGTAACAATTAACAAGTATCCCACACTAGCCATGTGAATAAGTAACGGTTTTTTTTATCATATGGAGGTAAATTTATATCAATATAATTAAAATAGTGTACAGAAACTGATCTCATTCTTTAGGCAAGATAAATTACTATTTAATATTTATACTTGCAACTTTTAAAATAAAGTTGTAAGAGATGAAGATGAGACTAGTTAGGATATCTTCCGAAAGCTTGGTAAGTAATTAAGATCATTTGTTTTAATCTGATTTTGACCTAATCAAAATTTGGTTAATTAAAGATAAGACCGGCCATTGCGGCCAACACAATATATTATTATATCATATTATATTAACTTTAATAACGTGTGATTGAATCGTAAAATAAAAGAATTATAAAAATTAAATTAAAGTATATTTTATAATATATCTAAAAATAAAAATTATTATAAGTATAATTATACTTGCTGAAAAAGATACTCGTCCAAATCCTCAAAAGTTTTTGTCCTTTGGTCTTGGATCTTCAAATTTATGATTTTACCTATAAAAAAGGACTTTAATACTTAAATTAGTGGGTGTTCAAAATATAAAGGTGTAATTTTAAAAATGAACGTAACTAACAAAGGTGTATTTATACAGGAGAGAAAATATTATTGTTAGTTGATAAGACATGCATTCAAGACCTTTTATTATATTATGTAAAGGTCAAACATTATTATATGCTCCCCAAATTGAGTACTCCCCAACATGCTAAACACCAAGAGCTCCGAGAGTTAGGGGACCCTATTTACATACATGAAGAGTTTCGAGAAGTGAAGTGTCACGCCTCTCTAAATAGTTTATCCTTAAGTTTTCCTGGGGTTTAACATCCCTAGTTTTATTAATAAATTATTTTTAAAAAAATTAATTAATTGGGATGATATTATATTCTAAGTGATATTTCAAAATAATAGTAATAATTATTTATCTTTTATTTTCAAAATAGTGAGGAATAATTATTAGACTTTTACCAATGAGTTACGCGTGGGTTAAGGTTAATTAACATTTATTATAAATATGTTAGTAGAGTTAGGGTTACCTCACTTCATAAATTGACAGGTGCATCTTGTGATTAGAAGATGACGCTAATTTTGTTTTATAAGAATGAAATATCAAATCATTTTGAATTAATATAAAATTTTGTATATATGATCTAAGAGTAAAAAACTTTCAATCTAGTGGTTGAATTTATAAAATTCATATTTAATATAAAATTATTGAGTAGTATAATACTTAGTAAAAATTACACCGATGTCGTTTGAATTATCCTCTCTCTTTTTCTTTCTTATTAGATTCTTAGCTGGTGCTCCACCAAGTGCTCTCCCGCAGCCAAGTACCGCACTAGATCACCGTTAAAGTTTTCATATCAGATGTGCATTAAGATGCGCAAAATTAAAAAGACTAACTTGTTAAAAATATAAAATCCATTCAATAATTATGAAATATATGCAGCTACAGATATGGTTCAATGCATCTTTTAGATCAATAAAAATTCAAATTATATGAAAATTCATCCCATGGTTGGACTAGAACCAAATCAGCAGCTGGATCACCTACTTGGAAAAAATCAATTACATGCCAAACTTCTAAAAATCAGACCTTCACAAACTTTTAGCTATATTTGCCTATCACAATTAATATGACTGATAGTAAACACCTATTTCCCCTAGTAACCTATCGGCTTCGACAAAAAGAAATATGCCTCGACAGCCTTTTGCAACGCAAGAACAGCATGGCTCTGGAAACGGAGGTCAGTCTGAAAACACAACAAAACCCCAAATTATAGGCTATTAATCAAAAGACCATGCTTTTATAATAGCAGCAACAAAAAAAAACAACACAATACCTTGGTTGGAATGGAACCAAATCAGCAGCTGGATCACCTACTACATGATCAGGAGCAGCAGTCTTATCCACTTAGATTATGGCATCACCGACTGGCCGATCCAGTTGCAATTCTGATCCAGTGACCGAGACATGATTTGGCTTAGCCAAGCCACCGACCAGCAGAGCATTCGGTGCAGTTGGATCAGCTAGATCACCTACATATTGACCAGTTTCAAACACACATGAATTGTGCCCAGCTAGAAATTTAGAAAAGGAAAAAAAACAACATAAGGAAATTTCCTCTCACTAGAAATTTGGGAAAAGCTTGTTCATCACTGAGCTTGGCTGCTTTATAGCTACAAATATGAGATGCTTGAGCGTGTTCAATGCTGTCAAACAAAAAAAAGAATCACAATGAGAAAAAGTATTTTTATAATAATTACTTTAAAACAAGATATACCAAGAAACAAATATTACATTTAAAATGCTTCAATCACCAGAATTAAGAACTAGTGATGACAATCACGCATATCCCCAAATGTTATCATGCAAGCCAAAGTGCCAAACTTCAATTAAACTAAAACATGACACAAATTAAGAACTTATTCACCCACTCCAAACCTATAAAAGATTAAGAACTATTAAAAGAGATGTGGACCATTTACATACCAGGCTTGACAACCTCCCCTGGATTTGACTTTATAAGAAGTTGACGACCATCCAAGTGAGTCAGCACAAATTGGAAGCCACATAAGGCCTCAGTGAGGGACAAGGAGTGCTCCACAAAATGGTCTTCAGACTTTCTTCTGAATTTGGGGTGTTCTTTCTGCTGAAGCACAAAGACTTTAATCTAGCATGTTCAATACATTTCAACCAAGCCCTTTCAGTCTAATAGCACACAACAACCATCCACCCGAAAAAGACCAGAACACAGTAAGCAAAACTATCTGCAAAACTCTTAGCATAAAAAAACAACACCAACTCTTTATTTCTCATAAATAATCACCAAAGTATAGAAAACAAAACGTGAAAGCAATCCACACTAATCACCAGGTGCGCTCGGTGGGCTCGAGCCTCTTCCAGATCCCCTCCACCACTGCCACGAGGGAGTCAAACTCGGTCAACAGGTGCGCGTTGGTGATCCACGAGACCCTGTCTTGGCTATCGGAGTTGGCTCTAAGGAAGAAGCCGAGGTCTCTGGAGGCGCAGAGGAGCTGCTCCATGTGCTGCGCGAACCACCGTACCTAGGAGGTGGGGTCGGCGGTGCTACGGTGGAAGTTGGAGAGGTTGAGGTGGTTTCTTCCGCCGGAGGAGGGGTAGACGGAGAGCTAGTCCTAGAGGATGAAGGTGTCGTGGTAGACAATGTGGTGCACGGCCAGGCACTTGAGGGTGACGGTGGCATGGTGCGTGGCGTTGAGGCGGTCCATGAGGAGGTCGACTAAGGCGGAGGCAGTGGTGCGTGACCCATCGGCGGAGGAGATGAGCGTGGCGAGGTGCTTGCGCGTGGGGGGCACGGAGGAGTCGTGGGTGGTGGGGGCACAGGGGGGAGAGGGTGGTCCATTAGGAGAGTAGCGCCTCCTTGCTCTGCGATGCTTTCTCTTTGATTATTCTGATTAGGAGTATTGAACGACGGTCAAGTGGGGGAGTCAGAGGGGGAGGCGACGACGACGGCGTAGGAGTGGAGGAGGTGGCGATGGAATCGAAGAGGGCTTTGGCGTCTTGGAGGTTTGGGGATTTGAAGAGAGGGGGAGTGTGCACCCGCGCGAGAATGTTAGGGTTTCATTTCTACATCGGTTATAAGCAAAACCGATGTAGAACAACTCCCCAGATTTTTTTTCTACATCGGTCATAAGCAAAACCGATGTAAATATATTTGTATTTTATATTTATTTACAAGTTTGCCACCGCGTTTATGATTTACATCGGTTCTGGTAGAACCGATGTAAATGTGGCGATGTTAAATACTGTTTTTGTAGTAGTGGAGGGAGAACCTGAGGTAACTAAGGAAGGGTTTGGAAATTCAAACCAAGACTTTTGTGTATATCAAGGTAAAGGGAGAGTGAAAACCTCACTCTAAGGTATGGGTTATATGGTGGGTAGGGGGATTGATCCTCAATCTCGTAAGTTGCATATGTATGTATGTATGTATGTGTGAGGAGTTAAACCCAAGTCTTTTTTTTTATTGTAATGCATATATGATGTCTCTTTGAATTTCTAAACTTGTTATTGTGCTATAAATGTGCTCCAGATCTATGAATATGTCTTTGTTTATGAATCTATGAACATTTGTGGGATATCAGGGGAACCCTAAGGATGTGTATACTCAATTATTGGGGAGACTATAGCATGTAGTAATTTCTTATATTAAGAACGGATTAATTAGAACATAGAAACCCCCTTTTTAACATGAAATTGTGTAAGTGGTGAAACTTGTTATGTAATTGAATCGCAAATTCTACAAAATAAAAAATGACTAATATTACATTGAGCACCATCTTGGGTTTGCTAAGCACAAAAGCCCAAAATGCCCGCGAGATCATTAACACCTGACATGAGCTTTGTCATGCCGAGTGTGGGAGCTCTAGGATCCCCTGTTGTGATTTGCAATAACTCCCAACTAACAACAACAATCAAAATTAATAAAATCACAATA